AGCACTTACTTTGAGACCATTACAAAATGACTTCTATATAGTATGTGTATAATCTGGCCATATTACATTTGCCATGCAAGTGTCGTTTGCTCTGCCATGTTTTATGTTGAGAGGTCATAGTCAGTATTAGTTTTAAAAAGATAATGCGATTGTATGAAAAGCCTAGGTTAGTTCAAGCCAAATGGAGTAACTCCAGAAACTTGCTTCATGGTTACACTACTTGACATTTAGGCTTTACATTTTTGTTTAATGAAATACTTTACAAACATTTTCACCAACAAGGATAAAAAAAAAAATAAAAATCAAGGCAGTTTGTACATATTTTCATAATCTTAAACATACATTGACCCCATGAATATAAAGTAGCAGCCTGGCCATAGTGAAACAAATTAATATGTTGTTCATTGTTTTTGCAATTACTCGTAACATTCTTTTATTGGTTCTTTAGCTCATTCTTAGAATTATGAAGCTTTGAATACTATAAATGCTGTATTCTCTGCTATCTGGCCTGGTAATAGCCACTTACATGTATTACAAGCTCTTTTGATGGGAAACATGTACAATACTTTCAAAGAATGTGAACAGATTCTTACAAGAGGCGGTTGATAGTACTACACCCTTGAGTCTTTTAAATGTCTCCAGTGTACACAAACATCTCCAATTAACAGCAATACTCGCATTTCTTCCCTTTTCAGAAAGAAAGGAGCACAAACGTGATCCCTCACCTCATGGGGTCCCTGGGTTCTCATTCCTTCCGCCTCATGGTGCCCCTCACTTTAGCCCCCCAGGACCTAATCCTATGGGTCCACATCCAATGGGTCCCCCAGGAGCACCTCACATGGGGCCTCCTCATCATCACCCTCCAATGCTGCACACAGGGGTGACCTGTGACGGGTGCGACGGGCCGGTGTTTGGAACACGTTTCAAGTGCACCGTTTGCCCCGATTATGACTTGTGCTCCTCCTGCCAGGGCAAAGGCCTCCACAAGGAGCATCCTCTCCTGCCCCTCTTTCACCCCATGGCCAACATGTTTGAGGTGAATGCCGTTTTTACTGCTTTTGTGTCTGTGTGTATTGTACTACGTACAATACATTTTGGTTTCCAAATTATCTGAACATACTGATTCAAGTGAATCTTTTGTGTGCAGTGGTTCCCTCGTGGGAAGTTGTGGCGTAAGATGAGACACTGCATGTGGGCAAATACCCAGGCTCAGGCTCAGGCTCAGGCTCAAGCTCAGGCCCAAAACCAGGCTCAGCCAGGCCCATCTGGAGTCCAGCAAAACCAGGCTCAGCCAGGCCCATCTGGAGTCCAGCAAAACCAGGATGCTTCTGAAAACATGAGAGAGAACGGTGAGACACCATCAATCAAACGGTCTAATGTAAAACCTGCGAAGTAGGAGGAACGCGACAGGGCTTGTGTGAACGAGTTAAAAAATAAAGAGTTGCGTTAGAGATGTGATTGCTGGTCAGTTTGTGAACAACTAAAGGATTGGGTAGTACCTTTGTGCACAAACAAGTCAGCTGCCTAAGCTTTCCGATGCAGCTAATGTCCCATTCATAGACCACTTTGGTTTGGTTGACATATGTATGAAATTTGAGCTTAGAATAATTTGTTACAATGCTGTAGACCAACACTGATAGAAACGGTGTTATCATCCACAGCTGCTACTGACTCCTCTCTGGCCAATATGGAGTACCTAAAGAACATTGGAGAAGGAGTGGCGGCCATGTTGAGCCCCTTTGGTAAGTTCCCTTTCTTTGGGTTTATTACTAATGCTTTTGGCCTTTCCCAAACATTTTTGCCTCTAACATACCATCCGGATACTTCTTTGTTTGGCATGTTACCTAACCCTTCAAAATAAAAATGCTTGTTCCTTTCCAGGTATAGATGTGGACATCGACGTTGAGCATGAGGGGCAGCGGACCAAAGTTACACCAAATCCTCCTGCCTCCAGTGGGCCACCTAGTGCTCGGAGTGAGAGTGGCTCCATAGGGCTTCTCTCCAGAGGGTCTGGTCCTGGAAGTCAGGCCACTGAAGAGAGCATCAGTGAGGGAACAAAGGTAAAACTATATGCAAGCAGTTCTACAATGCCTGATAGCAGGGGTGTAGCCATCATTTCAGAAGTGAGGGGGACAGAAATGTTAACCTTTTTTTTTTTTTTTTTGTCTAATTGACAGGTTTTATTATTTTTTCTTGTCTCTTACTTTTAATTGGCTAAAATCAAATACACTGCTGGACAATTACCAGTAATTTGTATTATTGATTGTATAATATATTTATAATATATATTTTCCTAATTGCAGTTTTATGGTTTGTAAATATACTACACTTTTTTAAAAATTTTTATCACAGATCAAGGCAGAAAATATATTTTATAGTTTCTATAGACCACTGTAATAAATGCTATGTCAGTTAGCACTGCATTATTCAGATGCTTTTTTTATTAACTGGAGGTGACTTGAAAAACCCACACAAACCATATATGACCCTGGACCACAAAACCAGTCATATGGGTAAATTTTTTTCAAATTGAGATTTATACATCATATGGAAGCTGAATAAATAAGCTTTCCATTGATGTATGGTTTGTTAGGATCGGACAATATTTGGCTGAGATGCAACTAAAAATCTAAATATTGAGAAAATCGTCTTTAAAGTTGACCAAATGAAGTTCTTAGCAATGCATATTACTAATCAAATCACTAATTACATTTTGATATATTTACGGTAGGAAATTTACAAAATATCTTCATGGAACATGATCTGTACTTAATATCCTAATGATTTTTGGCATAAAAGAAAAATCGATAATTTTGACCCATACAATGTATTTTTGGCTATTGCTACAAATATACCCCAGCGACTTAAGACTGCTTTTGTGGTCCAGGGTCACATATATTGTCGCAATCGTGTGCATGTATTGTCTTTACGTTTTTTTTTTATTCAGCTTAGCTACAGCTATAGCTGGATGCCTTTGTCCGTATTAGGGATTTCCTGCATGTCACAAGTTATTACTTCTATGAGTCAATTTTGGACTTTCTGCGTGAGAGCGCCCTCTAGCTTAGAGTATGAATGAAACATACACTGCATGAGAGTTTAGCGCGCCGCAATGTTCACATCTCATCATTTTGGATATGAATAAAATGCCAGGTCATGCATAGACCATCTTTGAATTTAAATCTAGATATATTTACACTGGTCACTGAAAACCTCAACGTGAACACACTTGCCCGAAAAAGTGCGGGGGAAAAAATTTGTTGTATTAAAAGTGGGGGGGTGGGCACATCCCCTATGTATTCTACTCCCCTGCCTGATAGTATACAGGATTGTGACATCTCGGGTTTTCAAAGCCAAAAAAGGCAGAAGTTTAGAAGTTGGATATTTAAAAAGTTCAGAAGGTAGATATTAAAGGCCGAGAAGCTACATTCGGTTAACGTTCATTCCTTCTATTCTAGGGGCAGAAAGACCAAGGCAGTGATGAGGAATGGACTCATCTCAGCTCTAAAGAGGTGGACCCCTCCACAGGAGAGCTGCAGTCCCTTAGGTTGGAGCAGGACGGGACAGAACTTCCAGCCCCGCTAAGTACAGACTTCAGCACAAGTGCCTCCAAAGGTCCCACTGGCCTGCGCGAGGCAGCTCTCTACCCACACCTTCCTCAAGGTACCGTGCATCACCCAGTAGCCAATTCCAGTCCACTTCATATCAATTCAGGCATCCTAATATTAATGACCTCTCCCTCAGATGCAGACCCCAAGCTGGTGGAGACTCTTTCTCAGATGCTCTCCATGGGGTTCACCGATGAGGGTGGATGGTTGACCAGACTGCTCCACACCAAGAATTTCGACATCGGATCTGCCCTGGATACCATCCAGTACTCCAAACCCGGGCCACAGAAGTAGAGAAGGAGCACAGGAATAAAGAAGACCAGGGGGGCATATTACAGAAAGTTTCTTATCTTAGGTCTTAACTTAAGATATATGTTAAATTAGGATTTTTCACAAATTCGTATTACAGAAGCAAATCTTAACTTGATTTGGGATTCTTATCTTATAAAATCGTATCTTATCTCTAGTTAGGAAATCTTAAATTGCATTATCAAGTTCGACAATCCACTCAGGTCTGTTACCAAGCAACCAACACTGCTCGAGCTGCTGATGAGGTAAACAAAATAACAGAAGCTACTTCACTTTGAAAATCACCCTTTGCAAAAAAACCGTGAGGCATTAGTCACTTGCACTATAACCGGTAATGCTCCGTGATGCTTTTGTTGGCCTCTGTAATCCTGGTTGCAGTTCCTGTGCTACTGTAATATGTTGCACGGCAGTCTGTAATTACTTATAAGTGTTTTGTCATCAAAATGTAACATCTTCAGGGTCCTCCAAGAGTCTTTCTACCATTAAACATCTCCGTTCTTCATTTTCAATTAATAATAAATGTAATACCATTGTTGGACAGTGCAGTTTTTCCATTAGCTTTCGAATCATTTTGAAATTAAGACAGCTGTGGGGTTGTCCTAAAGTTAAGAGTTTTTAGGATTTTTTGTCAAGTTAGGAGGTTTCTGTAATACCCCCTTCCTATCTGTAGTTAAGATAAGATAACACACTTAGGAAATGCTGTTCTGTAATAGCTTTTATCCTAAATGTGGTCCCAACTGAAATGACCATGGTTACCAAACAGATAAGATCAGATTTTAAAGTTAGGATCTTTCTGTAATACGCCCCCTGCTGGGCCATAACTAATAATGTTAGAAAATGTTGGCCTATTTTCTGTTAACAAAGTTTTTCCATACTTTTTCAATGACAAATTCTTAACGTAAATGCTATCAACAATATCAGTTACTCGGGTGACTTGGCACGTAGTTAAGTTCATTATTGGGCTTTTATGCAAAATAGATATATTCAGCATTTCTGTCATTAGCATTACACCTTATGTTATGAAGATTATTATCGTTGTATATGCATATTACATATAAAAGTAGAGGTCTACATTTGTGTGATTTTTTTTTTTCTGTTTGCATTTACATAACTAATAAGAAGAGTTTGCAGGCTCAGCAGAAACCTGGGTGTTTTTATTGTTAGTTCGAATAAACAGATGGAATCAGGTTAATGGCACTGTAGGTCTTCTAAAATTCCTGTACTTTCTATCCTCAATAAAATGCAAAAAAAAAAAAAGTTTGTATTTTCTTAAATGTGCAAAACTGTGGAGAATGGTTTAACTACCAATGCAAGAGGATATGGTAACATCATAAAACTTAGATTTTTGAATAGAATGCAACTTATTCTCAAAATGTGTCGTCAAAGTCTTCATCGGTAAAGAACAGGGAGTTTATGGAAAGGCTTGAACACGGCATCTTAAATAGTGTAGGCTGTTTACAGACAGCGCTTTCAAAACCGGCTGGCTTTGAGCGGTGACTGATGTTTGGACTGGATACATTTCCATCTACACAAATATCACCAACAGACTTCTGCCTCCCTAGAGCACCACTGTCCTTCTTTCCATCCAGTGGATATCCGCACTCTTCAGAATCCACACTCTTGTCTGTAAGTGCTTCTGAGAAACAAGCCACTGCTGTGTTATCACTGTAATTAGGGGAATCTTGAGCGTCATACTCTTCCTCGTCCTGCTGATTAGGGACAACTGTGAGGAATTTGTCCCATTTGGAGTCCTTATTCTCAATCTTCGATTCACCACACTTCTGACGAGAAGAAACAGAAGGACTGTTGCTGTGCAGGAGAAGGCCTTTGGTTACCTCAGCTGCTGGCGGCTTATGTGAAGAGTTACACTGTTTATTTTCACCAGAGTTCTCCGCTGTGGAACTGGAGCAGGCTGTAGGATAACAATCAGCCTGACGGGATGATGGGAGATTTGTGCTAGTGCACGGCTCCATATTACCTGACCCACCATAGGAGGAATATTTGGAAGCAGATCCTTTACTCCACGATGAATTGAATCTCCTGTCATGCTGCAGTGGCTGCGATAGATACAAGAAGTGTTTGTGTTGAAACGGTGTTTTTTTAAACAGGACGTTTTGCAGTATCTTTGCACATGAGTCTTTATACTGTTGCAGATGTGTTAAAGTGCGTTGTGTGGCTTACCTGATCCGGCCGTCTCTTAAACCCAGAACAACCAGTCCATGACTCCTCATCCTCACAGTTACCATCACGGCCACCAAAAGACTTTGAAGAGGAGATTTTCTTCCTTTTCCTGTAAAATGAGGTTACATTGGTATTTGTTCACATGCTTAATAATAAAGGTCTGAAAATACAAGACAATTTTTTCATGATCGTTTGTGCCAAGATTCTTTGGTTTTTATTTATTAATGATTAAAGTTTTCTTTAATAGCCGTAGTATTTAGCCTCATTAACAGATTCAATGCTTTTATTGACAAGGTACCTGGTTCCTTGGCTTCTGAATCGGTGTCTTTCTGTGTAAACATTCTCATCTTCTTCCTCATCTTCATGTCCATTTGGACTCTCAGCTGTTTGATCAGTGTATTTACTCCAGCGGCTGACGTGAGTCACTTCCTGCTACAAAGAGAGGACGCTTATAAGGCCAGTGCTGTTGGCAAACGTATTGATACTCAATTGATCTACAAGTGACTTCTCGGTTTCTCCCTGAATGATAAACATTTAACTGAGCAGACAAAAGGACTGAATGGACATTAATAATAAAAGGACTGAATGGACATTGGTGCTTTACCTCTGATTTAGGATTTTGATCCGGACTTTCATAAACATCTTCGTTTTCATAGTTCTCATCCGGTTCCCTTTAAAACATTGTAAAGTCAAAGGGTCAATGACATGTTGCTCACTTTTTTGCAACATACTAATTTACTAAAATGCATTGCACAAAAATGCAACTCATACATGCAGTGACAACAGTTGTGCTGCCAAATATTTTTTTTGGAAACTGCTATACTTTTTTCAGGATTCTTTGAAGAATAAAAAGTTAAAGAACATTTATTCAAAATATAAATCTTTTCTAACAATATAAATCGTTGCTGCTACTTCTTATTAATTTAACACATCCTTGCTGAATAAAAGTTTTAATTTCTAAATAAAATTAAAGAATTTTTGAACGGTAGTGTATATTGTTAGAAAACATTTCTATTTTAAATAAATGCTCTTCTTTTTAACTTTTTATTCATCAAAGAATCCTGAAGAAAAGTATCACAGGTTCCAAAAAAATATTAGGCAGCACAACATTTTCCAGCACTGATAATAAATCAGCATATTAGAATGATTTCTGAAGATCATGTGACACAGAAGACTGGCGTAATGAGTAGGGCTGGGTATCGATATCGATACCGGTTCCTGAACGACACTTTTTTCGATACCAATTTTATGAAATCAATTTTAACAAGATTACATTATCTAAAAAAAAAAAACGGTTTTATTTTTCAGCTTGTTGATGTTTATACAAACTCAAAGACTCGTCTCCTGAGCCACTGCACAAAGGAACAAAATGTAACCAACACAATAAATCAGTGCAAAATAGTTTTAATAAAGCTCAAATAGTCTTCGGTTTACACATCTGTTAGGCTACAGTTACACTAGTTAGTGTTCGTTTTAAAACGCATAGCTCAGACAGAATCATGATTTCTATTTATTTTCCACTGATTTACTGATGAGCATTAGCAGCTTCCAGCGCTGTCTGCTTGTGTTCTCTCTTCCATGATCGCTGCTCTGACTCAGAGGTAATAACATATTTAATTTCAGCAACATTACATGGCCAAAACACACATTAGATTTTATGTTACAAATGAAGATTTTATTTTAAAATCTTCATTTTTGGGCCCCCTTCCCTATTAATATAATAGACCTAATATTACCACCCAAGCAAACAAAAATATTTCTTAATCAGTGGAAACCGATACAGTGTTTTCTATCGGAATAAGCGCTTGCGTTTAGTCAATAAAAATATTGTTCTTAATTTGTTTGAGAACTGAGAAAGACCATACCATATAGTCAAGGCCACATAACCACCTCCGGGAGTGCATTACTTCTCTAATAACTTTAACGGCCTGGAGTCCCAACCACACATCAAGACATTGTTCAGATCATTTGTTTCAAGACATTTGACATGTTTCCGTCCTGAAATCTCGTGTGGGTGTGTGGGTTGAACTAATTTTTTTACGCACCTCATCCCAAACCTTCCGTTGCAAATTCCTAAACGTCATTTTAGAGCTGATAACAGAGGCTTGAGCCATTGATATGCAGGCTAACGCAGTTATTAATGCAGTCTAATGCGGTTAATCCTGTTAGACGGCAATCACAAGTTATTACAAACACTCGATGGTGGTTTAAAGTGAGTTTTGGGTAAAAGCGGAATATATGATGCTACAGTTTGCATGAATGGTCACATAACACATGCTTTCGGTCGTGTAACGTTAGTATGAACGGACATCTGCATATGACGGGAACTCCACACAGCTCCCGCGCTACTCTATACTGCTGGTATTACAGTACCACGAGAGCTAAAGAGAGCAGACTTCGAATCGCTCTCGCGGATGTCAAACACTGATCGATCTGCGCCGCGCCTCTTCTAGTCGAACACACCGGCTAGTGCTGCAGGCTTATTGGCTCACTGACGCTGATGAGATTAACCCCGTAGATATTGAAATTTGGTACCGAACGACAAGACGTTTTTCGATACTCGATGGTATCGAGGCAATTCGGTCGGTGCCTAAAAAGTATCGAACTCGATACCCAGCCCTAGTAATGAGGCTGTAAATTCAGCTTTGCATCACAGGTATAAATGAGATTTTAATGTATATCATAATATTTCACAATATAAAATTTTTTCCTGCATTATTTTGATCAGAAAATGCAGCCTTGATGAGCAGAAGAGACTCCTGTACAAGAAACATTAAAAATCATTCTGATCCCAAACTTTTGAACGGTAGTCTTAGTCTCCTAAGATGGGCTTGTTTTGAATTTCTGTATTAAAATTCAGTTTTATATTTTTGTGGTGACAAGTATTAAATTCTTGAAAAAAAATAAAAATAAAAATGTTGTTCAAGTTGTTTACACAACTTTAATATAAATAATCATTAGGCTATGTACATATTTAACCCTAAAAAGGGCAAAACTATAAAGAGACATTGGGAAATAAATTTATTGCTATTATACAATTTCATAAATTTTTTTTCAAAACTTGACTCTTATTTTCCTGAATGTTTTGGAATACAGACCTAAGGTTGGTCTCTTTTTAAAGAAGACACATAGCAGATTATTGCTAAAGTAAAAGCATTTAAAAAAAAATTAAGTATAAAAAAAGTTATAGAAGTTTACAGTACAGATATTGTAGTATACTAATTTGTTTTTATCTTATATAAAATAAATATTTTATAAAATATGTTGCACTCTAAAATTGCTATAAAATCAAAAGACATATGTCTAACCAAGTTATGTTCCAAATTTGAAGATGAGATTTTCTTTTCAAAATTATAATATTCAACTCTACAGTATTGAATTTTTCTGATGCAGTTTTCTGTCACAAATCAATAATTTCTGTCACAATATCACTTGTACCATTACAAAAAAAGTCACCATGTGAACCTATGGAACCTTGACTATCAGATCTTTCCAACGATATGGGTCTTAAGTTTACAAAAAGATTTGATTTTCTAAAACACAAGCCACAAAATCACACAGTCTATATACACTCCCCTCCAAAAGTATTGGAACAGTGAGGCCAATTCCGCTATTTTTGCTGTAGACTAAAAACATTTGGGGTTGACATCAAAAGATGAATATGAGACAAGAGATCAACATTTCAGCTTTCATTTCCAGGTATTTTCATCTGGATCTGACAAACACAACTTAGAAGATAACACCTTTTGTTTGAACCCACCCATTGCTCATGTGACCAAAAGTATTGGACCATGTGACTGACAGGTGTGTTTTGTTTCCCTGGTCTGTCCTATTATACTGATTATTCAAACAATAAATAGCACTGAATGTCTGTGCTCAGTTTCAGATTTGGATTTTGCCTGTGCAGACTGCATTTATAGTTAGACGTGTAACCAACATGAAAACCAGAGAGCTGTCTATGGGTGAAAAACAAGGAATGGTGAAGCTGAGAGAAGATGGAAAATCAATCAGAGCCATTACACAAACATTGGCCATAGCCAGTACAACCCTTTGGAATGTCCTGAAGAAGAAACCACTGATGAAGTAAGTAACAGACCTCAAACAGGTAGACCGAGGAAAACATCAGCAGTTGACGACAGAAACATTGTGACAGCTGCAAAGAAAGACCCAACTGTTAGTGATATCAGCAACAACCTCCAGAGGGCAGGAGTGAAGGTATCACAATCTACTGTTTGCAGAAGACTTCATGAACAAAAGTACAGAGGCTACACCAGAAGATGTAAACCACTCATTAGCAAGAAGAATAGGAGACGAGCCTCAAAAATTCTGGGACAAAGTTTATGGACTGATGAGACAAAGATTAACCTTTACCAAAGTGATGGAAAGGCTAAAGTTCGGAGAAAAAAAGGATCTGCTCGTGATCCCAAACATTCAAGCTCATCTGAAACACAGTGGAGGTAATGTCATGGCTTGGGCTTGCATCGCTTCTTCTGGGACGGGCTCATTAATCTTAACTGATGATGCAACACATGACAGCAGCAGCTAAATGAACTCAGAAGTGTACAGAAACATTTTGTCTGCCAATTTACAGAAAGATGCAACCAAACTGATTGGGAGATCCTTCATCATGCAGCAAGATAATGGCCCAAAAAACAGTGCCAAAGCAACAAAGGAGTTCATGAGGGGCAAGAAGTGGAAGGTTTTAGACTGACCAAGTCAATCTCCAGACTTAAACCCTATAGAGTATGCATTTTACCTGCTAAAGAAGAGACTGAAGGGAGTAACCCCCCAAAACTGAAAGAGGCTGCGGTGAAAGCTTGGAAAAGTGAAAGTGAAAGTGAAGTGACATGTGGCCAAGTATGGTGACCCATACTCGGAATTAGTGCTCTGCATTTATCCATCCAAAGTGCACACACACAGCAGTGAACACACACCCGGAGCAGTGGGCAGCCATTTTTGCTGCGGCGCCCGGGGAGCAGTTGGGGGTTCGGTGCCTTGCTCAAGGGCACCTCAGTCGTGGTATTGAAGGTGGAAGAGAGCGCTGTACATTCACTCCCCCCACCTACAATCCCTGCCGGTATGAGACTCGAACCCGCAACCTTTGGGTTACGAGTCCGATTCTCTAACCATTAGGCCACGACTTCCCCACAAACAAACGTGGGGAAAAAAAAGCATCACAAAAGAAGAATGCAAAAGTTTGGTGAGGTCAATGGGTCACAGGCTTGATGCAGTTACTAGGATTTGCAACTAAATGTTAAGTCTTATTCACTTTAATCTAGTTTAAGTCAATCGGATCCAATACTTTTGGTCACATGAGCAATGGGTGGGCTCACACAAAAGGTGCTATCTTCTAAGTTGTGTTTATTAGATCTAGATGAAAATACCTGGAAATAAAAGCTGAAGTGTTGATCTCTTGTCTCATATTCATCTTTTGATATCAAACCCAAATATTTTCAGTCTACAGCAAAAATAATGGAATTGGCCTCACTGTTCCAATATTTTTGGAGGGGAGTGTAATGTTTTTATATATAGATTTATACCCCTAAAAGGGCGACGTATCCCAAGATACAAACATTTAGAGACCGATTACAAAAAATGTAAGCATTTAATTCATGAAATTTCAATGTAAACCCAATAAGCTAATGCTGAACATTAATGCTGAATGCTTTTAAATAGGTAAGTCCCCTCCAACATGTGTAAATATGTGAACCAGGTCAACTTTTATCGGAGGGTGAGTAGATTGCCCACTACAGGCGGCCATGCAGATTTAAATGCTGCCCGTGAGCTAAACAAAGAATGTAGAAACAAAATCACCTCATAAATATTCACAACAAACACCCTTTCAAAATTACACCAAGAAATAAGTCAATTTCACTGCTTCTCCCCACAGCTTCTCAAAAGTTGTATCCCCCAGGATACGTCGCCCCTTCTAGGGTTAGGGTTTAAAGGCCACATATTGTACACCTTTCTGGAGTTTTATTTTAGATTTTGATGTCCTTAAGAATATATATTTGCGGTGTAAGTACCAAAAACCATCTCAATATATTTTTACAGCTCCTTTCTCAGGAGCTCTGCTGAGAACAGGTCGATTTTGGCCTGTCTAATTAATATTCATGAGCCTCTCTTCTGATTGGCCTGTTGTTCTCTGAGTGTCCCCCGGCCAGGCCAACCACAGGTAACTAGGGTCAGCCGACGTCACAGCGCTAGCTGGAGGCAGCAAAACAGAGGAAACTGGAGGCGGCCCATTCAAACCAGCGCAGGTTCGGCTACATGAGCTTAAAATATCATATTGTTGTGATGTTGGGTGCCAGAATCTATGTAATACAGCCTCAAATTATAAATTTGATCGCATATCTGCTGCCACTGCCAGACAAAAAACCGACGACAGCTGTGGTTAAACGCGATAAAATGAGCAGACTGGACAGAAACGATCGTCAAAAATGCTCGCGTTTGCAGCGCACACTTCTTATCAGAAAAGGTTCAATAAAGTATTGTCTTTTGTTGTTATGGGCGCGTCTACAGATTTCTTGCCATATGTCTATGTTTCTTGCATCGCACGACATGTCGTGTATGAAATAATGTCTGTGTGCATGTGTGTAAAACAACAAACTGATGAGTTATATATAATCATTTGTAATTGTATATACATTGTTGTGATTAATTGTGGCTGGAACAATAATGTAGCTGTAAAAATAGTTGCCTGCTGAAATTGAAATGTATATACATCTTCATCACGACTAGATAGACACGGTGAGATGTGTTACTATACACGTTAGATGTGATCCACCTCATAATAAGGTCGGCCAATCTGCTTTCGTGGTTAAAGTTAACCTTTTCGACATGTTTCCGTGTTGTTGTTGCTCAGCAAAAGCATGGACGCGATGTTGTCTGGGGTTTGGCAAAAGGAGAGTGGGACACTGGGCGGTGCTCGAGGCGGTGACTGTGCGTGCTGCCAAATATTTTTCAGGGGAAGTTGCTAAAGCAAGGTTGATTTGTTGCTAAAAGTTGCTAAATGACGTTGTGATTTTTGTGACGACGACGTCATTATGTAATCACAACGCAAAATTGTGTCACTGCATCAAATCTCAACAAAAAAAATACATTTTATATATATATGTTCATTTAGATTTGTTTGTAAAATAATATAAACGCATAATATAATATAAAAATGTAAATAACTGTTTTTAAATAGCCTACGTTAGATTTTTGCAAACGTACACATTTTTACGAGTACAATTTACGTTTTTTTATTAGCTAGTAAACAAGTAAAACTACACATTTTCCATTTTTCTAGATATTTTTCTTAGTGTACCAACTGATCAACACTCGCATGCACAAGCTACTAACAAAGTGTATCATAAATGAGCAATTATTAAATGACAAAATTATATTATTACTATTATTATTAAATTAAACAATTGCAAATAGCAGCTAACTTAATCCACGTGATGTGTGTACTACTAGGCATCTTTGTTTTTCTCTTTTTGTGTAATTTAAATGGTAAATGCTCCTTTTTATCATTTGAGTCACTTATCAAATAAATTGTAAAAATAGCTCAACTGTTAGAGTCAGTTTCACCTTCTTCACTGACTGCTTCTCGCCGCACACTTTACATGTCCATGTCTTACTCTTCTTCATCTAGAGGAGAAAAATAATCGGTTACTCCGATTCACAAGCTTTTGACTCAATTCGACATTCATTTGGAAAAAACACATACATTTTTCAGAAGTAACAAAGGCTTATTGGCATAATTAGATGGTGACGAGATACAAATAACATTTATTGAACGTTTGTTCACTGAAAACAGCACAGGCCACAAGATCTCGGTTCAACAAAATGAAGATGAATTACAATAGATTAATCGACATTGTCTAATATTTAGACAATCTGAATGCGAGGCGGAGACGCTGACATTAATTTTAAGAAACGTTAAGTGGATAACTAAGGGCTGAGGGATTTATGTCAAGCGTTTGTGATTTAGCAGCTAACGTTACAACGCGAGAAAAACAGAAAAACAGGTTTAATTCTGAACTAAAAGGGACATGCGAAACAGTACCTGCTGTACTTGATATGTTTGACAGGAAAAACATCTCAGTACATGAAATTCTTGAACCATGTTGTTGGGTAGTTTTTACAGTCCGGACTCGGAGAATAAAAGTAAATAAAGTAAAGCTCCTATTTATGTTTCCCGCCGCCGCCCACAGCCTTCTTCTTCTACGTTAGTTCTTCCTTCCGCACAGCGCCCTCTAGAGGATCAATGAGCGTAAAACAAGTAAAACATCTGTGTGTGACTGAGGGAATTAGCACATTTGACAGATTCTTTTGGATTATAATGAGCACATCTCAAAACAAAACAGCTTTTAGAGGAATTATGGGTCTTTCAAATAGTGAGGACCACTTCATATGTCTTCATACCTACAAATCAAAATAATGTGCATCCAATTATTAAGAAAATTAAACAAATATTAAATTCATGGTTAAAGAGAGATCTGTGACTAAAAGGAAGAATGTTATTATCCAGAACTGAAGGGTTGAGACGTTTAGTGTATACAGCTCTTGCATTAGACGTTCCACAATCGGTCATAAAAGAGGTGGATACTTTTTTGTTCAATTTCATCTGGGACATGCGAAACAGTACCTGCTGTACTTGATATGTTTGACAGGAAAAACATCTCAGTACATGAAATTCTTGAACCATGTTGTTGGGTAGTTTTCACAGTCCGGACTCGGAGAATAAAAGTAAATAAAGTAAAGCTCCTATTTATGTTTCCCGCCGCCGCCCACAGCCTTCTTCTTCTACGTTAGTTCTTCCTTCCGCACAGCGCCCTCTAGAGGATCAATCAGCGTAAAACAAGTAAAACATCTGTGTGTGACTGAGGGAATTAGCACATTTGACAGATTCTTTTGGATTATAATGAGCACATCTCAAAACAAAACAGCTTTTAGAGGAATTATGGGTCTTTCAAATAGTGAGGACCACTTCATATGTCTTCATACCTACAAATCAAAATAATGTGCATCCAATTATTAAGAAAATTAAACAAATATTAAATTCATGGTTAAAGAGAGATCTGTGACTAAAAGGAAGAATGTTATTATCCAGAACTGAAGGGTTGAGACGTTTAGTGTATACAGCTCTTGCATTAGACGTTCCACAATCGGTTATAACAGAGCTGGATACTTTTTTGTTCAATTTCATCTGGAAGAACAGACCACATTACATAAAAAACAGTCTTGTCTTTTTCCATCTGAAGATGGTGCTCTTAATGTACTTGACTTTAATTCTGCTAATTGTGTATTTAAGGAAAAAAATGGATAAAGAACTACCTGCAGTCTAAAGGCAAACTTTGGAATATAATTCCTGAGTTAATTTTTGATATGTTGGGTATGTTAGATGTTTTTGTTTTTTTTAGGTGTAATTTTGATGTAAATAATGTTCTGATAAAGCCGTCTTCTTTTCATAAACAGTTTTTTTATGGATGCTCATTTTTAAGCATAACTTTTCTCTATATAGAACTAACTCAAGAAATATTTTACGTTTAAAAACAAGTCCTTGTTTTACAGAAACTGGTATAATAATGATGTAATATTGGTGAAACAGTTGTTCAGTAAAATGGACATATCTTTAATTACTGTTTTAATTATTATAAGATCCCTGTAACCGCGGTGTTTACAGTAGTATTTGATGACATTCCTAATGACCTTATTCAGCTTTTGTGAGTCAATACCCTTCAGTTAAGTATTAATGGTATGAAAATTATTGATAATAAATATCTTTTATATAAAAAATTACATAGAACCACATTATTGCCATTACACGGCACATTACTGTCAAAATTAAAAGTCAAAATAAACTCAGATGCATTCTGCCGTAAAACCCCAACGAAGAACTGCCGCATCAAACAATACATTTGTATATCTTTTTTTTATTATTATTATTTTTTTTATGATATGTTTAATTATGATTACATTAACAAAAAGGGTCTTAAAATACACTGACAATACCCTGTTGTTGTTGTTGTTGTTGTTGTTGTTTTTAAAAGCCAGTGTTGCATTTGAATCAGATCTGTACACAAGAGTCAATGTTAAAAATGACAGATTTATATCGATTGATTTATAAATTTATAGGCTGTAATTCCCTTCCCCGAGTGTTCAGTTAATTGAGTCCGGTGGATGAAAGCACAAGTAAAGTTCAACTGTACATTCAGTCTCTGTTCAGAAGCTCAAAACACATCAGAAACTCCACCCTTCTTTATCTTTAACCTTTACTCTACCAGGAAGTGACTAGTCTTATGATTTCTCCAATATCTTACTGAAGGTTAAAGAGTCAGTGTTTTGGAGATCAGAGGAGGACACTATAAATGAGGATTTATGAGAAGTGTATTGAACAGAATAGGTTTGATTTTGGTTGTAATTGTTATTTACTTTTCAAAGTCAGAAAGTGAAAGTAAATTGTAGATCGTTGCAGCTTTTACAAGAAAAGGAAATGGATTCCAAATCTGTGGAAGAGTTTTCTTGTCCCGTTTGCTGTGAAATCTTCAAGGATCCTGTTATTCTGTCCTGCAGTCACAGTTTCTGTAAAGAGTGTCTTCAACAGTTCTGGAGAACCAAGAAAACTCAGGAGTGTCCAGTCTGCAGGAGAATATCGTCAAAAGCAGAGCCTCCACGTAATTTAGCGTTAAAAAACTTGTGTGATTCACTGATAAAGGAGAGAAACGAGAGGCGCTCATCAGGATCTGAGGAGATCTGCAGTTTACACAGAGAGAAACTCAAACTCTTCTGTCTGGAGGACAAACAGCCGGTGTGTTTAGTGTGCAGAGACTCAGAGAAACACGTCAATCACACATTCAGACCCATCAGTGAAGTGCTTCCATCTCACAAGGTATGATCAGAAAATGGCTTTCATTTCATATGCTAAGCAGTGCTTTGCTAGTAATATTTGTATCTGTTTATCCTTTGCAAGTTAAATAATTAAAAAATGTATGTCCTACAAATTTCAGGCACAAATGGGACTACTTCATGAGAATGATCATACGTCATACAATTGACAAAAACTATGAAAACTTCCAAATAGGTCTGCACGATAAATCGAAATGGAATCGAGATCGCGATTCGACAGAAGCTGCGATTTGTCATGCGTATCTTTCAGTGAAGCACGGTTCTGTGATCAGCAGTAAATCTCCATCTGAAGGCCAGAGGGCGCTCTCGCGCTGAAACTCCAAATACGCCTCCCAGAAGAAACCCAGAAAATGCCTATCGCTGCAGCTGAATAAACAGAAGATTCAACTGCTTTCATTGATTCAACGTGACTAATAAACACACGACTACGGCAATATACGGTTTATCTGAGTTCTTATTATTATAATTTTCATTCAAATAAAGTATATTTATAATGCAATGCCTTTATCACTGCTTAAATACTATGAATTGATTCCGAATTCTCCAAAACTCATAAAATTCCCCTTGTTCCATGTGAATCTTGTTTGGCAGTGGCAGCATTAGACGGGCGTCCTTTGAGCTCTGGTCGGATTCAGTTCATCACAGAGGATTTATCTCTACGTACAGGAGCTCTCCACACTGAGACGATCCGTTTATTTGTTTTCCAATCCCCTCAGACACCCATTATCCTGGGACTGCCCTGGCTCGAGAAGCATAACCTGTGTATTTCCTGGTCCAAGAAACAGATAACTCAGTGGTCTTGTCCAGGGGTCATACCACTATCCTCACAGTTATTGACCGTTTCTCAAAGACATGTTGCTTGATCCCTCTGCCCAAACTGCCCACTGCTCTGGAAACGGCCAAATCCTTATGCAATTATGTGTTCAGATTCTATGGTCTTCCTGAGGACATAGTCTCCGATCGGGGGCCACAATTCACCTCCCGAGTCTGGTCGGCCTTCTATCAAAAGCTGAATATCAACGTCAGCCTCACCTCTGGTTATCACCCTTGTTAATACCTTGTTTGATTACCTGTTGCATACCTGGATTGTTTAGACCTGTCTGATCGTTCGCTGCTTGCTTCTTTGACCTTGCTCTGTTTTTTGATTTACTCTCTCCTCTGTCTGCCGCCTGCCTCGACCCTTTGCATGGACTCTGGTTATGATTCTGCCTTGCCTACGTTACCCCTGTATACTGTTGACTGAACTTTGCCTGTCTGGTTGTTAATAAAGCTGCACATGGATCCCAACGTCACTGAATCGTCATTACAGTTATGAAGTGAGTTTGGAGTAAAAACATGTTATTAAATGTGGTATTTTCACATGCTTTCAGATGGAACTGCATTTACTTCACAGAGCCGTAGTTCACTGAGAAACTATGCAAACATCTGTCATTATCGCGAACGATGTTTTCGATTTCATAATCGCGCAATAAAATCGTCTGCAAATTTTTATTTTTTTTGCATTACTTGTCAGTGAACTACGGCTCTGTGTAGTAAATGCTGCTCCATCTGAAAGCATGTGATGATGATTTCCTGCTGATTACAGAACCGGCATTACTAACAAATTGCGCATGACAATCGCATTCGATTACTGCTTTCTGAAGGTGACAACTGAATTTAGCTTCATTGTTTGTGCACAGAATAACTCACCAATTACCCAATGATCAAACTATTAATTTGTATAGAGAGAAAATGAACTGTTATGAGTGTTTGATGAGATATTAAAATGTTTTTCAAACTCTATATTTTCCAGGAATTTAGCATCACGATGGAAAGGTAAGTTGAGCTGCTGGTGTTTCTTCTCTCAGTGGATCTGAACTCAAATCCACTGCAGTTCTGACTCCTGAATGTTCTTCCAGAGTCCAGATCTCACAGCCGGATCCACAGATGAGTTCTGGAGCTTTGATTCATGCGTCACATTACTTGAGTGACTTGCGGTTCAGAGTCTGGAGGAAGATGCAGGAAACTCTCCAACACAGTGAGTCTCCAGACACAAAAGATTAAATAGTTAAGAAACAAAGACAGACAGATCAACATTTGATATAAATAAATGTAATAATCACTTTAAGTTCTATGAATTTGAAGTGAATCTGAACTGTATTTCATAAGATCATCAGATCATACTGCAAACTCATGATGACTACTAAACGTCTCAGGTTACTTATGTAACCATGGTTCACTGAGTAGGGAACGAGACACTGAGTCCTCTAGGGGTCGCTATGGGGAACGCCTCATCGTGACCCGTGTCCGAAGCATACATTGAAAAAACACCAACTCGTTGGCCGGCGACAGCCATGACGTCACTACCGGTGCGACTATAGTATAAATAGGAGCATTCATTTCACTTCTTCATCTGAAGCTTGCGTCCGCAGCATGGCAAGAAACCTAGAGGACGCAGTGTCTCATTCCCTACTCAGGGAACCATGGTTACATAAGTAACCTTCAAACTCAACTCACTTAACTCAAACTTCTCAAGTGAGAGGAGAACTCCGAATTCAGAGGAATAAAGTTGCTCATGCCAGGTAACCCTTTGATAAAAGGGGAGCATTGCTCAATACTACCACGAGGACAGCCCATGGAGCGAGGAATCCAACTCCTCAGAGAGGATTAACGCTCGAAAGAAATATCATACTCACAATAACCCTCAATGGTGAGGGGGGGTGATGCTTCAAGAGGATATCCTGGTGATCGGGAAAACCAGACCGGACGTCCAGGAAATTTTTGCAGTGACGCGCCGGGGGCCCGATGAACACGAAGGCTCCCGCAGAAGCCTGTGTTATGGCCACATGATCCAGGAAGTATGAAGCCGAAACCCGGCTTTACTTACCTTCTGGACATATATCGACGAGTGAAATAAACAGCAGCGGGGGTGCCCACCGAGGACCTACCCTTGAAAAGGGACAGAAACACACAGGACCTGGGAAAACACTGCAAAGAAACTAGCAGAAGGGTATACACACAACCACCAGTACATTTATTTATATACAGGTATACATATATTTAGACATGGATCATACTCACCCGCCATGGCTCCCGCATCGGAGCTCTGTCCAGAGAAGCCTCTAGACCGGACCATCAGTAAGATGGTCACTATGAAGCCATAGAACCAACCAAACCTAACAGGTCCAGTATAGGAGACTATAATGCAGGAAATTTCCCACTTAACCTCGGTCAGGTGGAGAGATGGTGGTTACAGGGGAATTTAGGAAGGTGAAGATAAGGGCAGATGTAAGACCCCCGAAGGAAATGAGTAGATACTGAGGTATCACTCTGATCCGGACAAAAGCACTGACGCCCTGTCTGGATCACATCCCTTAGGTCTTTTACTCACCTTCCTTTGACCCGCGATTCTTCCTACCCCTACCCGTGGGCGGGGGAGGAGCATGAGCCGCGACACTAGCCTTCTGAGCCAGTCTCTGATCCTCAAA